CAACGTTTTTTATTTATTTTTGGGACAGAGAGAGACAGCGCATGAACGGGGGAGGGGCAGAGAGAGAGGGAGACACAGAATCAGAAACAGGCTCCAGGCTCCGAGCCATCAGCCCAGAGCCCGACGCGGGGCTCGAACTCACGGACCGAGAGATCGTGACCTGGGTGAAGTCGGACGCTTAACCGACTGCGCCACCCAGGCGCCCCTGGACATTCTTTAGAACACACTTCCAGGAGTAAAATTTCTGGCCAAAGATTATACATTCAAGCCACATGATATTGAAAATGCTCATGTTAATCGCTCAAAAAAATTTAAAAATGGAATTAAAAAAATCAAAATGCTGTATTTCAAAGCCCATTCAAGGACAGCTACTGTTGTCTCGCAAAAACATCATAGCACCAGTTACAGTGCAGAGCAAAGTTATAAATAAGAAAATATCATCTGATGATCTTTTCTTATCTTCAGAGAAAATGTTTTGTAAAATGTATTTCGTTGTGCTCTTTCTACAAGTTTAAGTCATTCTAATATTTTTAAGTTGAGGAAAAGTTTTACTTTTCTATCATGGCATCCGGTGCTTGGTAAATCTGGGAGGTCGAATTTCATTGCTCTTTTCTGTTAAATGTGAATATGACTTAATTTTTTAATTTTTTTAAACGTTTATTCATTTTTGAGAGAGAGACATACACACACAGAGTGCGAGGCGGAGAGGAACAGAGAGAGAGAGGGAGACACAGAATCTGAAGCAGTCTCTAAGCTCCGAGCTATCAGCACAGAGCCTGACATGGGGCTCGAACCTACGAACCATGAGATCAGGACCTAAGCTGAAGTCAGATTCTTAACCGACTGAGCCACCCAGGTGCCCCTAAATATGGCTTTAAAAATCAGATTGTTCATTGAAATAAAACAATCTACTTTTAAAGTCCACATGGGACCTCTTGTTGTCATCATTACAATTCTACTTTAATTCCTTTAATTCAACTCACACCATAAGTTATTTAAATGAATCATCCCTTTGACAACTGGGAACATGGGGCTGTTGCCAGAAGTATGTGGCTCCCTTAATGCCACAGGGGTCTATGTCTCAAGGGGACTCACGTTCCTGGGCGAGCCAGCCAGTAACGTCCTTGTTTTTTACCAATCGTTCGCAGTATGTCTTTTCTCTTCCTTTATAGCCTTTAATGAACCTCCCACCCCCTTTTCCGACTTACCAGGTCTCTACACTGTTCACATGCTCAGGCCAAGATTTATCGCAGCCTTTATTAGCACTATTATCTTGGTGACTTCAGGAGCTTTTCTAAGTTTACCTTTAACAGGAATCGTCTCCATGTGAATCTGGATAGTTAGGAACCAGTTTTGAGGAAATGTGACTAGCTGCAGTATTTGAATTAACTTCTTTTTTTTTTTTTTTTAAATTTTTTTTTTCAACGTTTTTTTATTTATTTTTGGGACAGAGAGAGACAGAGCATGAACAGCGGAGGGGCAGAGAGAGAGGGAGACACAGAATCGGAAACAGGTTCCAGGCTCTGAGCCATCAGCCCAGAGCCCGACGCGGGGCTCGAACTCCCGGACCGCGAGATCGTGACCTGGCTGAAGTCGGACGCTTAACTGACTGAGCCACCCAGGCGCCCCTGAATTAACTTCTTTAAAAAATATTTGGTCCATAGAAGAACAAGTAGCATTAATAGGGCACATTCCTGTCTTCATGGTATTGGCACTGACTACCAGTGTAGCCTTGGATATGTGCCTGAGCTTCCTTTTCTCTAAAACCAGAGAGTTGGTCAGGATGGTGATTAGAATCTTGTCCCCCTCAGGGAATCCGTTCCCACAGACACACTTCCTCCGTTATGTATAGGTGCCCTCATCAACCTTAACCCCCTGTTGTCAGAGAGCTGTGCCAATTAATTCTCGAGTGTCCCAGTCCTGTAAAAACAGTCATGGTAACAATCCAGCTTCATTTTTCAGATCAGTGAACCCAAACTCAAAGATCATTTCTTAAATCACAAGTAAGTGAAAAGAAGAAACAGAATTAAAATGTTGACTGGCACTCATAGTAAAAGATGACTGTGACGGATAAGGTGGATCAGCATCTTTATTTTGTCTTTTAGGCAGGTGTTTATGTTCTATATGGATACACAAGCCAATTATCTTAGGAGACTATCTTTTGCCTTTCCCCCGCCCTGGTGTTATAAGGCGCAAACCTTGAGGAAAAGATCTGTAACGTATTTGCGCTCTATTGCCACCGAATGGTGATTAGTGGAAGCAACATGCTAAAAGTTTCTGCCTTCGGACAGCTCTCTCACAAAGTTCGTTCCTTCAGCCTGGATTCGTTTTGAAAGGCTACTTTAAAGACCACAGAACGCTGTGGAATAGATATTCATGTGTCTTTCTGACTACCTACTTCCCTTCCCGTGTTTTAAATTCTCGAGAAAAGATCTCTGTGTAGCCACCCGTATTTTAGGTCTGTGCTTGTTTCTGTTTTAACTCTGCTCATTACTCATAACTTCTTAGCAGTGTTGTGAGCAATATAGAATATACACTTGTGACATTCAGAGAGTCCTACATGTGTCTTAAGAGTATAGTAAAATTGGAAAACCCAATGAAGCGCCATGTTGTTTTCATGGAATCCTCAATATTTAACTTTTTTCCTTGGCAATGTAGCCATCTTTTTTTTTTTTTTTCCTCTCTCTCTCTCTCTTTTAGTGTAGCTATTTTTTTTAAATTATCAAAAGCAGATACAAATGGGACAAGTTTTAAGCACACGCTAATATTCAAAGCCAGAACCAACCTAACCATAAGGGAACTGGTCTGAAATATCCTAGAATCTCTGGTTTCAGTAAAACATCTACTTGCCTAGCTCAGATGGGGAGATGCAGTC